GGGTGGGGTACATATGAAATTGTACTTTTTATCCAAAATGGGAGCATTTTATACAAGTTTTGTACTTTTTTTTTACACTTAAAGTGTCATAGATTTTATTCAATGAAAGTAAATCTAGAACTCCTTCATTCTTTCTGGTAGTTCTGTGGCACCTGCAGATGTGTGCGTGATATGTTGGCTATCGACCAGATGCATGTGATTCATCTAGCTGTGCCCCAACTGATAAACATTTAGACTGTTTCTAGTTCTTCTGTTTTACATATACAAGTTGTTTCTAATCCAGAAATCCCAAATCTGAAATGCTCAAAAATCTGAAACATGATGTTCAAAAGAAATTGGAGCATTGGAGCATTTTGGATTTTCAAATTAGGGATATTCAACCAGTAAGTGTTATGCAAATATTTCAAAATTGGAAAAAATCTGAAACACTTTAGGTCCCAAGCATTTCAGATAAAGAGATACTCAGCTTGTAGAGCAGTGGGGAACATCCTTATATGTGTGACTTTACTCATCTATTAGAGTACTTCTGAAGCACTGAGTGCTGGAAGTGGAATTCCTAGGGCAAAGACTATTTGTGACTTTATGGTGCTTACTGCTGAAATGCCTTCTGAATGAAAAGGTTGCAGTTATACTTCCACCAACAGGGAATAAGTATGCTTGCTTTATCCATTCTCACCAACACTAGGGATTACCAACATTTTAAATTTGTGCTAACATGGTAGATGAAAGATGGCATCTTTTAAAAATATGCACTTCTCTACCCACCAGTTCTCTTGGACCCTGGGTTAGTCAGGTAAGCCATCAGGCATCCTCTCCAACTGATCAGCCACTGCTTCCTGAGTATCTGTCCTTAATCCCTCTCCTTGTGTCTCCAGCACAGCCCTATACTTCAATGATTGATGAGGAAAGGCTGCCTTGCTGTTGGGTTCCCAAAGAGAAGAGGCTGACCTAAATCTGTACCTGGTACACTTGCCTGGGACCTTGTCAGCCTTCCTGGCTTTATGGAGACTGTGTGCTTCTAACGCTTTCTCCTTGTTGAGATGACTAGAGCATAGTCTTCTGTTGTCATGTGGCTCCAGAAGGGAATTCTAATTCCATTCCCTCCACATTAGCTATCCTTCCAGACTCTGGGCCACTCCAGCTCTGCTAAGGCTCAGGGAAAATGTGAAATATTCTTCATCACTGCCCCTTGCTATTGTGTGTCCACTGCTCTGAGATAAATTGGGTGATAGCCACGTCCTGGCTTCCTGTCATCTGGAGGCCTCCTGTCTATCCAGCTGCTACTGCACAGGCAGGCTGGCTGGCTACATGACATAACCACTCCTGTGGGCCACCATCATCATACCACCATGATTCTCAGATGTATTACTGAGTTATGATTGGCGAAATAGGAGCCTTGGGTATAGTAATAGACGCTGTAGCAGCAGGAACTCAGGAATCAGACCGACTCAAGCTCACATTCTGAGTGTCTCAGCTATGCTCTTGGGCAAATCATTTACATCTCTGAGCCTCAGTGTTCTATTATGTTGAAGAGAGGGCAATTATAGAACCCAACTCGTAGGGTTGTTGTGAGAATTTAGAGAGATGTGCATGCTACTTGGTACATGGAAAACACCTCAAAGAATGTTGATAGTGTTATCCAGATCAGAATACACCTAGGAAGGCCCCAGCAGTGGGGACCTTGTTGCCTCCTATATTCAGAGAGACTATCAAGAAACATATATACCCAGGAAAAGGCCCATCTGGTCATAGTCATATGTTTTATTTAGTGATTTAGTGATCCCTCAGGGCCTAGAAGGGTTGGATGTGCTTTCTGGCATAGTGTGGGGGGTCAGCATGGAAGGGTCAGGGGAATAGGATCCCATGATGGAATCCTTCTGGCTGGCAAATTATGGTCTCAAGAAGATGGGGACCAGCAACAGCTGGAATATAGTCTAGACACTTTTTTGGATATAGACCCAGCCTGTGATCCCTCCTTCCTTGGGAACTTGGGAACTTCCCCTGCCTCTCCCATGGCATTGTACCCCAGCAGCAGTGTTCATTCCACCCAGTTCTGCATAGCACTGGGGTAGACACCCAGCCCAAACTGGGCCAATCAGATCCACTGTCTGGGTGTCACACTGGAATGTAGAGCTGTTGGCACTCAGACCAGGAGGATGTGAGCTTAAGAATGTTTCCTGGTGAGAAAATAGTCTGCAGATGGATGCACAGAGAAACAGAGAAAGAGGCCCTGCAGGAAAAGGAGAGGAAAGAGGAGAGGTATTTGGAAAGTTGTTGCCTTGTTTCTTGAAGACTTTCCAGGTAGATTCTGGTTCCTGGACCTCATGAGGTCAGCTATGTCCCTGCCCATGGACTTGAGAGATACCTCGTGTCCTTATGTAACTAGTTTATTAAATGAGTTGGACACAGTCAGGTATAAAAAGAAACCAATCTCATTTTTTCCCCAGGGTCCTTTTGATCCTACTCTGTGGACTTGTTCTATTCCCAGGCAATGCTGAGAACTTTGCAGGTCCCGTGGTTGTGCTGTATGCTTGTGCAAGCCCTCAAGCTCTGTATTTTCCCTTCTTTGCTGTCTTTTCCCCTCTTTGCTGCTTCTTCAGAATTTCCCTTCAGGCACCTGCAACTCAGTTCCCCAGATGGGGTAATGCTTCTCTTCCAGGTGACCATGGACAACTCCTTCCTTGGCTTCTGTGCTTTCTGCCCTGTCCCCCATTTCCACCATCCAGGCAGCGCTCTGACCTTAGGAAGCTTGAACCCATGCCTCTGGCCCCTCTGTGGGCTAGACTTGTACTTTCAGAGTGGCCCCTTTTCCCACTGCTCCTATGCCTCCAGCCCTGAGTCAGACTCATGTTCACTCATGCCAGGCTCTGGGAATGGTCCCTTGCAGTCCCTCTCACTTGATCTAGAATGAGAATACCCTCTTTTCCTGTGGTGGTGCGGGGCACGACAGCTCATCATTTCCCTCTCCAGGATCTTCTTCCTGCACTCACTACACAGGCTTCATGTGGGCAATCAGGTCATGCTGTAGAGTCAGCGGGGCCATCCCCTTTGCACGGATGATCTTGTACCTTGCTCAAGAATGAGGGATACTTGGCAGCTATTATTTTGTCCTTAGCCTTTGGAGTCTCAGATAAAACTGAGGTGGAAGGAATGCCTTTTTAACATCTTGTTACACTTAAAACATTCTCTTTTTGTTTAATCTAATTGCCTGAGTTTCGCTTACTATAATCAGAGTCTTGACAAAATTGCATGAAGCAGATGAGAGGGTCTTGGGAGATCAGGGATGACCCCTTGAACTCCCAAAAGTGTCTGTGCGTTTTGAGCATGGTAGACTCCTATTACCACAGTTTTCAGTAATCAGAGATTTCTCTTTCAATCATGCTCAAATTGGCAAGATTTGGGGGAGGGAGTCCTGTTCGGTGTCATTTGCTTGGAGAACATCTCTGTCTTCCTGCCCTATTCCCCACATGAGCCCAACAGGTGGTTCTCCAGTACCTACTCCCCACCCCACCCCGACCTCAAACAGTGATCAAGGTATTGGCTAAAACTGGGATGCAGGAGTTTGGCTGGGGCAGGAAAGTCTGGGTTTCATTGACCTCTCTCTTGGCCAGCAGATGCACCCACCATGGAGAACTTAGTAATACTAGGACTCCTATGACTGTAGACCTTAAAAGGTCACTGACTAGGATGGGAGAGGGTGATCTGGATTGGTCAAACCCCAGAATACTGATTGGCTATGTTTGCTGGCAGGGAGGATCAACTCACTGGGCTCTGCACCTAGGCTCAGGGTACGTGAACACAGCACTCCTGGCTCCATGCTTTTTTTTCTAAGTCAGCTACTGGCTTAGTGAGCTGACCCATCCTCCTGTTTTCTCCAAGGAGAGCCAGTTCCACATCTCTGATGAGCTTATTTCTTCCTCTTACAGCCTGGGTATGGCTTGATAAAGAGTCAGGCTTGGGTATTGGGGTGGAGTTTGGGAAAAACAGTGGGTATTAATTTCACTTGAATCCCAACTAGTTTAGAAAAAGGGTTGCTCCACTGTCCAGCATGGCTTTTCAGAGCTCTCTGCTTTGGGGTTTGGACCCAAGACCAGTGACCAGTAAGGTTACTTATGTGAAAGCTAAAATGACATGTAGGCTAAGTATGAATGAAAGATACAAAACAAGGATTGGCCCTTGTTTTCCTTTGTCCTTGTTCCGTCCATTGCATATAGGGAGGGTTGGCTATAGTTTGGGCCAAGGTTGAGATATTTTAATCAAACAGCATTTAGATTCTATTGTGATCCCCACATCTGCTGAGGGACTGGGAGAAGGGAGCTGAGAACTCTTCCTTGGTGCCTGACACCCAGCACCTTCTGGATTACCTTCTGCTCAGGCATTCTTACCAGCCTCCTGACTTCAAGCCTCATTTTCTACTCTTCTGGAAAGTGAGAATAATAATCTTTCCTACCGGAGCTGCTGTGAAGGTGACATAGAAAAACAGAAGACCATTTCTAAGCACATAGTAGGCTTCAGTGCACATCAGTCTCTCCCTAACTGCAGCTTTACTAGATAAAACTCTTATAAGGTTTTGTTGGTTGGTCATCAAGAATGATTGCTGTGACCAATGGAATATGTGCATTTAAGATTTTGACGTATACAGTGCCACATTACTATTAAAAAATAGAGTCAATTCATACTTTCATCTATAGTACATAAAGCAGACATTTCTCCATTTCCTTGTCAACGTGGAGATGGGCATTTTTTTTGGATTGCCTGTGAGGTGCTTGTAGAACATCCAGTTGGGACATCCAGGACATGAGGAGGTGGAGGTCCTGAGAGCTGTCTTGGCCTGGGGTCCTTTCATGGGACTCCTGAGGAAATGGTGGAAACCAAAGATAGGAAGAGTGTGATTTAAGTGACTTTGGTGTGTGCCTAGCACTGAATTTCTTACTAGTTTTACTTAAATAGGCTCTGATATGGGAGACCCCAGAAAGGCATTCTAAAACAATGATGCACAGTGTAGATACATCCAAATAGCACTGATGGCTTTTATTGCGGATTTGTGTCATTACAAGATAACCTGGGAATATATTAAAAAAAAAAAACCCTCCCTTTTATATACATAAAACATGCTACATGGAATACTTTGTGAGAAATGCTGAGGTAATAGGCACACACCCAGACATGGACAGTACCAAACGTCCAACATCTCACACACCCCGGCCCATGTGCTTGCTGGGAGGGTCTCATCTTCTTGACTCATCCCTTGCCCCTTGCTTGACAATAGTGCTAGGAGTGCTGAGGCTGACACTTCATGGCCAACAGGAGGACTCAGAAAGCCACCATGCTGCAATGTACCAACCAAGGGGTCCAATGGCCCCTGATTATTTAGTAACTTGTGAGAAGAGGCCAGTTCTTATTTTTGTGGTACCTGTTCTTCAGGGAAGTATGGTTTTGGGATGAGATGCAGACTCCAGTTGGCCTGAGAGGAAGGGACCTCTGTCTGTAGCTATTTGGGGACCCTGACAATCTGATGACATATCTTCAATTGAATATCTCCTGGCAAGGCAGGCTATTACTTGCATGAAGGCCAAAATGACATGTAGGCTAAAGTATGAATGGAAGATACAAAATGGCAATTACATTATCTATATGGCTGGTGGACCTTTTGGCCTGGCCTTCCCTTTCCCAAATAGAAACCTGGAACCCAGGCTGTTTCCTTCTCAGAAACTGAGGAATCTTGCCTGGAAAGAAAGGACTGTGTGACAGAAAGGCAGGGCTATAGGCAGACAAGGAGTCAGGCAGTGCAGAAGAGGGGTCTTGAATTACAATGAGTGGCCAGGGACTGACATACAGGAAGCAATTAATGGATGGTGTTGAATGAATAAGTGGGTAGATGGATGGTGGAAAGTCCTGAGAATGGGGAAAAATATAAAAATGGAGGGGAAGGGGGATTTTGAAATTTGATTAGGTGTTTAAAGGGGTTCTTAAGAGAGGAAGCTGGGAACCCCTATGTGAGAGATTAGCATTGTAGACATTCCTGGAAGAATCCAGGCATGCAGATGCCAAGGTTTATTCTTTGGATTGGAACTACAAACTGTGATCTGCCCTTAGACTCAAGTAACACAATATTAATGAAATGCTTTTCTCCAAAGAGCACAGTTGTTGGTAATAGCTTCAACATCTGAGAACTGAATATATGCATATTTAGTATATAAGGCAAACCTACATATGTATCTAGATATATCACATGTGATATATATCTAAATGCATATATATGTGGTATACATGTAAGTACACAAGGGAGACTCACACAAATGCTTATGATGAGGGTATTTTGCAGTTGTGTTTCTATTGTAGGGACTTAATTTATTTAAAGAAAGAGTTGTCTGCAGTCCTGTACTGTCGTGGAAATATGAGGGCCTGTCTGGTGTGAAGAAAAGCAGGAGGGACAGAGAACACTATATCAATTTAGTTCCATTATCTGCTGAAGTGACTTTGGAAAACAGAATCCAGCATCCCAGTCTTCCCAGCCCCAGGATGAACTGGTGAGGAGTTGCTCTTTGTGCTGAAACCAGCATGGGCTGGGTGGGCTCTTGGCGATGGCCGCGAGAGGTCAAGAGGGGGAGGTGGCTTAGTGGAAGGTGTTAGGGTTGGGCCGGATCATCATCACCACTTTCTTGAGTGAGTAGGAGCCTCCTCGGAACTCAGCCCAGTAGACTCCGTCCTGGTAGCGGCTCCGGTAATGGCCCCCACGGTACCAGACCCCATTGAGGTTGGAGTGGGCACAGGCATTATACCACCAGCCTCCCTTCTGGTAGTGGGCACAGTTTCCTGCAGGAGAGAAGGAGGTGAGATGGTATCTGGGAGAAGGCTATTTTAACCATGCCCCACAGTGTGCTCAGGGTCTTCAGCAGGACCCTCTTGGGAGGCATCTGGAGCAAGAATGCTTGAGAATTGGACCCGACTCAAAGAGCAGGGAGGGGCCAGGCTTCAGACTTGCTCAGACCTGTTTTTGAGACTCAGTTTTATCACTCACTAGCTGATGATTCCAGAGAAGCAACTTAACATCTCCCTGCCCCTGTATTCTAATCTGTAAATGACACCTACTGTATAGGACTGCTGTAGGAATTTCATGATTGTATGTGTTTGACACTTAGCACAGGGCTGGGTGCAGAGGTGGCCCCAGGGCGACTCCACACCTCAGGTTCTGATAGGAAATAAAGATGGCCTGAGTTCCATGGGGAGGGAGAAAGGGTTTTTCTTAGGAATTTTTAGAGTTGAAACTGTTGGTTCAATAATCTTTACAGAAAGACAGAGAAAGGGTTTAAGGTGAAATGCTCCTTCATTCTGCTCCAACTTGTATTATATCCAAATACTTTTTTTTGCATTATTTCACAAAAGAGGCTTCCATAAAATTCTTGGCATTATCACATCATATGCTGAATTGTACTGCCAAGGACAAGCTGTTCAGAACAACAGTAAAAAGTGTGGGCCAGGTGAACACAGGCACTTAGGGGCATTGCACTGCACAGTGGAAGGAGCAGGGGCTGCCATCAGCTTGGGCTGCTCTTAGTGACAGGGCGTCTCAATTTCCTGACTAGGCCTAGAGAGGGGACCCACTACTCAGGGGGTGCTGCTCCAGTGAGGTTTGTAGGTTGGAGGGTTCATTGCAACAGGTGACTAAGGCTGTGGGGTGAGGTGAGGCGGTTGCATTCAATCTGAAGCAGAAAGCAAGAGGGGAAACTCAGCTGAAGCAGCCCAGGTTTTCTTAGAGTTTTTCCTGGGGCTTCTTCTGGGCCATGACCTGAGTTCATAGGGACCAATAGCCGTGTTGGATTTTTGGAGCAGGGAAGTCCTCAACACGCCATAGTCAGCCTCCTGTTTGCCAATGGAGGGCCCTCCAACATTTGTCCCACATACCTCCAGGGAAAGGAACTTGCTTCCTTACCAGGCACTGATTTTGCTGCTGGACAGATCTGACAGTTTTGGATCATAGAACATTCTTCTCCCAGCTCTCTATGTTGGCCTTCAAGAAATGCTATAGCAACCCCCATGTCTCAGGGTCTGAAGGTCATCCTCCTGAAGGTCATCCTCCTGCTCTGCTTTTTTGGAAGCCTTGGTAGTCTTGGCCTAGAAGACCTGCTGCTTCAGAGCAAGGGTCTGCTCCTCCTCTAGGGTCCCTTCCAGTAGGGTCAGTTTGGTGTCATTGAGTGTGGACAGAGGTGTCTGTGTGGTACAGGGACAGGAGCGTCATGTCCTCCTATCTCCGATGTTGGGAGAACTACCTGCTAGAGTGTGGCTGCCATGGGGACCTGGCATGAGGATCCCTCCCACCTCAGTATGTAGGTATGAGGGCCTACCTGAAGTACTGGCCATTTCTGAGACAGTCCCCAGAGCTCACTCCTCAAGGTGAGGGGGAGTAGCTGTCAGACCAGCACCACATGGGAAGCCGGGACAGGAGGAGACCAGGTTTACCCATGTGAGCAAAAAGCCTGGGCCTGTAGGTGGCATTGGCTGTCAGATGGGCCAGCCTCAGGAAGGAGCCTGGGCCCTACTGACTTTGCCAGCCTGTTAGGGCCTAGCGGCCCTCATCTTGAAAAATTATGTATGGAATCTTGGGAGTCATTAATTGTGGGGAAGTCTGATGTCTGTACTCAGGGCTGGACTGTATCTCTGCTGCTTTTAATTTTCTGTTTTCTCTCGTTTTTCATTTAATAAAGACTTTTTAGTGAAGTGCTAGGTTTGAGGCACATGATCTTAGACAAATCATTTCATCTTTCCTGTCTGATTTCCTCTTATTAGCTTCCTCACAGCACTGCATTAACATCACATACTGGTAATAGTGACTGTACAGCGAGCCTGCTTGCATTGAACCCTTACTATATGCCAAGTTCCAGAAAAAGCACATTAGGTATATTATCTCTAACCTTCTCCCTACCTTACAAGGTAGTTATTATCCTTACTTCCAGATGTGGAAAGTAAGTCTCAGGGAGATTAAGCAACATGGATGCATGATTGGTAGGAGGTAGGCCAGCACTAGAGCCCAGGTGTATGGCCCAGAGCCCCTGGGGGTGTGTAGCTGTACACTGGGCACCTCAGACCAAGAGATGGAGAGGGCACAGCCTGGCACACATCTGCCTGCCTTGGCCCAGGGCAGCCCTGGTATGTGTGGTATATACATCTTTTTACCTTTCCTTTTATTTTGTAAATGCTACTCTGACCTAGTTTTGTGAAGGGCAGCTGTGGGGAGTGGGAAGGGGAAAGGACCTTCAGAGGGTGGGAACAGAGTCAGGTATCTTGGCCCAGCTGTATGTCACCCTGGGATCTTCCTATTCCCAAGTTGTGGAGTTGGAGGACCCTGGCTCTGGTTTACCTCTTTTCCCTGCCTGCACCTGGGTTCCCCCCACTTTTCCTACCTGTGTAGACATCATGGTCTCTGTCCAGGGTGGTGAACTGCTTGCCATTGTGCCAGGTGAAGGAGTCTCCTGCATTGCCATGGTAGCGCCCCAACCGCAGCTTATAATATTCGCTCTCAGGCTCCAGGCGGAAACTGGCATATTCTGCAAAAACCTTGCGGCCAGACCAGTCCTCCATGGTCACCAGCAGTTTGTAGTTGCCTTGGTTTGTCAGCCAGTAGATATTCTCCAGTCCTAGCCAGTACTCGCCATCAATGTTCCCAAACCCTTGCTGGGGAAAACCCGGGACATTGTTAGCGTGGAGACTGTTGTGCCCATAGCCAGCAAGCCCTGCTGTTGGGCACTCAGCCTAGGATAGAGGGGCCCAGGAAACAAGCAGAGCGCAAAGCAGGCCTGGTTCATACCTCCCACTCCCCCACTTAGTTATTCTGTGACTCATACATTGTTCAAAAAGAAAAAGGAGTGCCTACTGTGTGCCAGGCATCGTGTGTACCCTAGATTCCTCTCTTACAGGAGAATTGCCTTCCCTATACGGTTGCTGCAGGAACACATGTGCTATGGTAAGTTGAGAGCCTGGCACACAGTAAACATGAAACAAGTATTCCTTAGACAAATCCCTTACCTTCACTGAGCTTCAGCCTTATGTGGGGATGGGCTTGTTTGAGGTTCACACATAAGCTCTAACCCACCAGACAGATGTGAGCTATGATAGATGTGTCCCATCCATGTCCCATCCATAAAAACAATATTATTATTGTTTTTACATGCAGTTTTGGGGGTCAATAGCTGAGTATATGGCCATTGAAGTCTTGAAAATTGATGACTTGGTGGTGGTGATGATGATGATGATGTGTGCTGGCACTATTACAATAACTTTACATAGGCTATTTTATTAATCCTCATGCCAATTTTAAGAACTAGATACTATCATTATCCTCCCTAGAATGAGAGAACTCAGGGTTACAGAGCTCCTAAGGGTGAGCCAGAACTTGAACTGAGAACCCAGTATTAACCATTGTGCTGTATTGCCTCTAAGCGAGAGAGGGAGAAAGAGTCAAGTAGTGAGTTTTCAGGAACCTCTAAATTAGGAGGTGGTAGAGGAGGAGGAAGAGAAGAAAATAGAGACATAGGCTGGCTAGGAGGCGGGATGGGAAACAATCAAGACAGGATGATACCTAAGACCTAAGAAGAAGTATGACAGAGTCACATATGCAAAGCATCCTGGTTTGAGGTAGTTTGTGGGCTTTGGTGTCAGAGGCCTAAGCTGCAGTCACTAATGTGCCACTTCCTAGCTTTGCAAACCTGAGAAGGTTGCTCCATCTCTTCACCAGTAAGCTGGGTTGATAACAGTATCTCCCTCATAGAGCTGATATGAGATTAAATGAGGTAGTACATGAAAGCGCTTAGTGTGGTGCTGGCACTAGAAAACCAAGCCACTCTTGCCATTCTTAGCGTTGTTTCTTTGCTTGAGTGGGATGTGTGGCAGAGTCCTGGCAACCTTTCCTACTACAAGATAAGCATTTCGGTTCCTTGGGAGCCAGGGATCCCAGAGGATGAACCCTGAATTAGGACCTGAGTATTGCCAAAATTCCCTGTGTGAACCCTTTCAGGGATTTTCCCAGGGGCTGGGATCCTTAGGACTTGCCCTTTCTGGGCTTCAAGAGCAGGTCTCCCCCCTTGGAAACCCCAGTTGGGATTAAGCTGCTCCCACACCTGGCTGGAGCGAGGGCTCCGTACCCACATTAATAAACTCTTACTCTGTCCTGGAGAGCTTTACCAACTCTTGTTCTACAGCAGTTGCTAGCAACAAACAGAGAAGGAGCTGGTCCTCACTACCCCTGGTGGGTTTGCACAATGGCACTGTCTGTATCCTTTTCACCTCAGGTATATTTGCTATTTGGGGCTACGCACACCCTGACCTGGTCAACATGTACCTCTGAGTGGTCACTCAGGCATCTCTTGGGTTGGGCTAGCCACCTTGTGGGCAGCACAGTCAGGCCTTACTGAGTCTCACCTTGTATGTCTCCCAATTCCTGAAGAAGTTGACAGAGCCATCCAGGCGTCTCTGGATGACGGTCCAACCCCCAGGGTCATGTCTCTGGTCACACCAAACCTGCATAAGGCGGTTGGTGTTCTCTGGTTTCACCAGGTAGATGGAGCTGGTGTCGTGGCCATCCTCCAGGGCCTGCAGGCAGTCTCTCCATGGGCCTGGGGACACAGACATGCACACATCACAGACCTGCCTGTCACCAGGCTGCACCCCCAGCTGTACCCCAAGCAGACATAACCTTTGACGAGGCTCTAGCTGGGAGCCACAGACCTGCAGTTTGAGAGGACCAATTTTTGTTTTGCAAATTTGAAAAATAATACAATAATAAAGACAAGAGCCTAGGACTAGGAGTTAGGATACCTGGACTGCAAGCTCACATTCTCCCCTCACTCCCTCATGGTGACTTTGGGCAAGCTTCCTTACTTCTCCTAGCCCTCAGTTTCCTTTATTAAGTGGTGTTAGGATTTCTGAGATCATTTGGGTGGAAGTTCCTGGAGTGACTTTAAGTTATTTATGTTAGCGAAGAAGGATGTATACCTACTAAACGTAGCAATATCAATTGGCGTCATGTGGGCTGTTGTTGTGGCTTTGCTCCCACACAGGGAGACTGGGCTCCATCAGACTGTTCTTCCTCAGTGCCAGTGGTCACATTTGGTTGGCGTCCCTCAGTTTTGTCTCTACATCTGTGTTCCCAATGACAATACTCTGTGACCATTGCTGCGTTTTTTAGTAAATGAACTTCCATAGTCACAGGGGCTTAGGCCATGCCCAGAATTTGGTCATGCCACCCAGAGACATCAGGATATTTCTGGGGTTCATACACTGGTCTTCAAGTGTCTTTTTAGGAGGACATGTTTCCTTTTCAGCTCAATCTGTGTATTTTCGAAAGGAAGCTCACTGAGTGCCAGATGCTCAGAGCTCACATATCCTGAGGTCTGCAGGCAGGTCCATGACCTTAAAGGATGATGTTTAGGACACATCTGAATCCATGGCTTTCTTTTGAAACTGAGACCAGAAGGGTTCTGTGATTCCCTACGACTTCACTGAGCTTGGGCAGCCCAGTTGGAAGGAATGAATGTCATGTGTTGCATTGGGAGTCTAAATAATCCGTAGGTCTTTCAGCCCTGCCCATCATCTCTAGCCTCTCCTAGTAGTTTCCTGTGTTCTGATGTTGGTTACATCAGCAAGAAGGTACAAACTCAAATCATCAAAGGTCTAGACAAGCTGGGCCTTTCTTATTGGGCTGAGTAACCTTCAGAAGGCTTTCAAGGCCTAGCTATTCAAATATTCTAAAATAAATAAAATCACCACTTTTTTTTTTTTGCTTCAGTCTCTTCAAAATATTCCCCAGACTAAGATTGGTTAGGAAAAGAAGTGCTATGAAAATTCCACTTAATTTGATGTTTATTCAACAACCATGTATTGAGTCCTAGCCCCTTGCAGGTGTTGTACTGGGCATGTGGAAGCTGCTCTGACGCCAAGCCAGGGAGGAGCTGATCTTAGCACCTCCTATCAGCTTGAATTCCTGTGGAATTGTGTCCTTTCTCTTTCTGTGTGTGTATGGGGAGGGGGTGGAGGTGCCCATCAGCGGCAGGCATACTCAGCTTTTCCTGTGCAGACCAGACTGCTCAGATTCCTTTCTGGTTGGTGGTTGAGCGCAACTATTTCACAGGTGAGTTAAATAGGAAAGATTGGAGCTTTTGGTCTTTGTTAGACATCTCAGGTGGTCTCTTCCTGAGGCCTTGCAGACAAAAGGCCTTGTGTTTGAGCATCCCCACCTAGATCCTGATGAGAAGGCAGGAGCTGTTGTGCTCATCTATCAGTCCTCAGTGCTCAATACAGCACTAAGAAGAAAGGCCACTTTGAGTGCTGACAGTTAGCCTGGGGAGGGGCTGTTCTCCTTCATTTGCCAGGGCGAAGCTTCTCACTCATTTACATTTTCATCGGCCCTCTCCTCCAACAAGGAATGGGGCAGGACCCAAAGCACCCCACCCTTGGGTAGCAGATGTGGCACAAGTAGCTGCTTCCTTTGCCTGGTGCCACTTCCTGCCTTTGGCCCCCATTAGCATCTGTCCTGGGGAAGGGGATGCCAAACCTCCAGAAAGAGCAGTCATGAAGGAAAAAAAGGTTTTGGTTGTGTTAAATCCAAGCTCCAGGGACCGAGGCAGAGAATGGGAGTCTGTCCGTGACAGCTGGAGCAGAGAGCCAGTGGGCGTGGGAGGCCTCCCAGCTCCTTACCAAGTTAGCAGCACAGGAGAGGTCATTTGATGTGAATGCTGGTGATGGAAGGTCTGGCAGAAGCCTGCAAAATAATGCCCACTGAGAGCAAGCAGCCAGACCTCTTACTGCAGAGCTGTCATGAGCTGTCTGTCATAGAATTGTCAGATGTAAAGGCTGCCTTTGAAAGAGGCACCATGTAGGGAGAGGATGTGGAGGCTACTGGGAGAATGGCAGTTGGCCTGTGGCTCTAGTTTGAGCTGCTTTTGTGGGTGCCATCAATGGTTTCAGCTTTACCTTTGACATTATTAAAAAGGATTCTTTTTAAAAGGCAAGTGTCTTAAAATACTTTGGAGCCCTGAATCCTTTTAAGAATTTGGGGAAAGCCCTAGGCCTGCTATTCAGAAAAACACACTGACTCACACAGTTTTGTATATGATTTCAGAAGGTAAATGGACCCTTAAAGTTTGGGTTGTGAACTCCTAGCTCCAAGAGTCCTGACCGAAGTAGTAATAACAATAAAATGATAGCCAACATGCACTGAGCATTTCCTATGTGCGAGGCTGTGTTCCTGGCCCTACCCCCATATTTCCACAGCCGATCCTTCTGGCACTCCTATGAGATAGGTAGTAGTCTCCCTTTTTTACAAATGAGGAAACTGGAGCACAAGTACATTAGGAGACACTCTTAAAGGACAGAGAAGATGAATGGATGAGGGCATCCATGTGTCCAGAGCCCATACTCTAAAGCACTCTTCTTTTTCTCTAAACAAAGTGAATTCAAGGGTAGGGGGGTCCAGGCTGACTAATTTCTGTGTCCCTAGGACTAATTCTAATCTTTGTCAGTCAGCCAGGTTAAAATAATAAAAATGTACAGGTCTTAGTTGTCAATGTGTTAAACCTTTTAAAGTCTATTAGTTTTTTCTTCTCTGTTTACCTTTTGGTGGCCTTTGCCTATTTATCAGCTATTCTAGTGTCTTTTTTTGAGTCAGAGTCTCACTCTGTCACTCAGGCTAGACTGCAGTGGCATGCTCATGGCCACCACAGCCTTGACCTGCTGGGTTCAGGCAGTCCTTCTGCCTCAGCCTTCCAAGTAGCTGGAACTACAGGCATGCGCCACCATGTCTGGCTAATTTTTTGATTTATTGTAGAGACGAGGTCTCACCATATTACTAAGGCTGGTCTCAAACTCCTGAGCTCAGGCAGTCCTCTCACCTCTGCCTCCCAAAGTGCTGAGATTACAGGTGTGAGCCACTGCACCTGACTTTAGTGTCTTTTATGATACAGAAATTTTTCTTCTTTTTTTAAAAGGTAAATCTGGCAATCCTTTAAAACTTTTTAGAATCACAGAATAGGCATAAAATAGTGAAGAAGTGTTTTGTATTTTCTGCTGTTACAAAAAAAAACCCCCTCCAATTGTGTCTATACCTTGCACCCATGACACTCAGGATCCACTAGCTTCTGTCAAGAACCAAACACAATTACCCTCAGAAACCCTTAGTAGACTTCAGACATATTCCCTTTTCATACATTATAGGCACCAGTGATAAAAGTCAGAAATATAAATAGTGGATCAAAATTAGTCAGAAAAGGAGTTCACATTGAAAAATTGGCAGCAGCAAAATTATCATATGAACGAGTTAAAACATCCTACTTTGATGAGAAATCTCCAAGTGTAACATGTAAATAATACCATGAAAAATCAACAACTGTCACATATAAAAAATGCCATTGTGGAGCGCCAGGTGAGGGTCTGGTCCTGACTGAGTAGGCCATGGTGAGGAAGTGTGGGCTGGGGAAGGACTACACACCTGGAGTCCGGAGCCCTTGCCTCCAAGCTCAGTGGCTTTGCCTACACGCAGCATGACTTTGGGCAGGTTCTTCATTAAGCCTCAATTTCTTCTTTGAGACGGGTAAAGGACCCTAGCTGTTCTGAGGATCTCACAAACACAAGAGCACCCAGCATGGAGACCAGCCAGGACAGGTGCTCAGTGAAGATTAATTTTTTTTCCTCTTTAAAGTTGTCCATCTTTCCCTACCCCATCACACACACATTACTATATTTGCCTTTCAATTTCCAAGACCAAATGCAAGATTACTTACTAATATATGTTTTCCACAATGTGCATTTTAAAAGTCAGAATTTTAGTGGAGAAGACCACAAAGATATATTGACATGAAGAATGGAAATCTTTTTTGTCAATGAAACTGAATTTTCAGTGTGCAGTGGGCAAAGTGCTCCCTTTGGGCCAGTGCAGCGTACCCAGCAGTGTTTGACTTGGCTCCCCTTCTGAGAGGGCAGCTCTGCCCAGAGCACCAGGCCAACACTAACTCAGCAGCACCTGGGCTCCTAATGGAGTGAGTGCCCCGACCTCATCTCTATAAAGACCATATTTACGCTCTTGGCAGAGCTATGGCCAAATGTTCCACATGGAGAGAAGTGCAGCCTCTGCAGCCTAGCTGAATCTGTGTAGGTCCCTGGAGAAACAGCAAGGGTAAGGAAAGCACACGGGAGCTGGGTTTTGAGGCCTCCAGGAGAAGGGATATCGACAAGTGAGAACACAAAGTGTGTAGAACTCAGTCCTAAACCCCAGTGCCACACCCTGGTAAGTGTTGGAGGTTATCAGGTCTAGGTGCTTAACTGTCCTCCTCTGGAGGTTCTTTAAACACTCAAGGAATACACCCTCCCAGGAAGCCAGTCACCACTGTATTGGTGGCTGAGTCAGTGTCTGCTATCTCCAATACAGGCCCTTTTTGGCAAAGCTGAGTTGGAGCTGGCAGCTAGGGCAGGCTTAAGTGTAACTTCCTGTTCCCAGTTTTCTCTCTGTGGGTGTGGGGCAGACCAGTGGTAGCCTGACTTGCCCACCCAACCCTAGTGGAGAAAACTCACAAACTGCATCAGCTTTCAGTGCAGTGACCCATCCTATTAGGGAAACATGGCT